CTGAGGTGTAGCAGACTTCCGGGACACTACAGTCCTGTTGACTTTCCTGAAACCCATCAAGGTAAAAAGATCCGAAAAGGAAATCCACTGACAATTAATTTGCCACTAACACTGGAGAGTACTGCCACGTTCCTGTGTCTGGGATCAGATGGGAGACTTGGGGGAACCTGCCTCACACGCCCTGGGCCAGAGGTGCAGTGCCAGGGAGGGAAGCAGGTGCAGAACATTACTCTTGGGGACAGCCTGGGTAAGACTCGTCTCTCCGCCCACAGCTATGAGCACAGATTCTGGCTCCCAGTGGGGGCTGATGAATGTTGGGAAGGAAACGACTTGGAAAATATCTCTTGGTCACTCCTGGGTCAGACCCAGTGCAGAGACCCAGAAATGCATGGGTCCTGCTTGGCAGAACAGCTGAGCAAAGCTACAAAGCTGTGGTTCAAGGGACCTTGGTTATTGGTCATTTTATGTCTGGGGGCCACACACAGTTTGGCACATAGTAGGTCTACAAGAAATACCTGCGAGACAAACGAAAGCATGGTGCCCATAGTTCAAGAAAAACTGAGGCTCAGGGAGGCCAAGCCACTTGTCCAGAGTTACAGCAGCCCCTCCGGGCAGAGCTGCAAGATGCAGCTGAGCTGAGACCTTGGGCTCCTCTCCAACTCCTGGCTTAGTATTGACCCCCTTCTGTGACCTCAGCCTAAAACCCTGACCTCTCTGGGCACCCAGAAGCAGCAACAAATGATCTTTCTCCTTGTCCTGAATTCATTCCTTGGTTGGACGTCCATTTCTCTGATGTCGTTTCCTGTTTTGAGTGGTGCCAGGAAACCCCCAGATTGCCCCCACATCCTGGATGGGGCAGTGGGCTGGAGCTTAGAGGAGAATGCTGTTGGGACCCTCCGTCAAGGCTGGCAACTCCCCCAGGGCCCAGAGGGGTGGTTCCACGGTGCCTCCAAGTCCCTTAACATTTTGGCCCTCTCTGACTTCCCAGCCTCCCCAGACCCCATTCTGGGCACTTCTCCATGCGTTTGCTCATGTCGGTTCCTCTGCCTGCCAGTCCCTCCCTGACGCCTGATGCCGTATGCAGATCCTGTTCATCCTTCAGAGTTCAGCTCAGATGCCACTTCCCTCCTTTCCTGCCTGCACTGTAGGGTCTCGCAGCACAATGCATGTCCTTCCTCCACTGCTTTCTTTAATGCATTGTTATTGAATATTTACTTTTCCATTTAATATTTACCATTCCAGGTGCTGGGAACATGGCGTGTGACCAGTGAGATGCCATCTCTGCCCTCAGGAGGTCTGTAGAAGTCCAGTGGGAAACACAAACCCACAACCTGGTGATGGCAGCACCATGTGATGGGGGCCTTCAGGGCAAGCTAGGAGTCAGAGAGGCACCTGGTCAAGTCAAGGGTGCAGGATGCAGGATAGGTTCCTGAAGGAGGTAGCCTATGACCTGCAACTGGTTGGTTGGAGCAGATGGGAGTGGGGCATGAGGGATGCAGTGGAACCTGGGGATGAGAGGTCTGCTACAGCCATAAAATTGAAAGTGTTCCCATCTCATATTAGCCTAGAGATGCAAAATAGAGATGGTGTTAGAATTGGAGACTTACCCAATATTCAGTCCTAAGGGAAGCCTGCCTTTTCCCCCAGAATCTACCTGTGAGCCCCGTCCAATGCCTGACAGGTATTTGGGGACTCCTGCTACTACTTATCACAGACAACTTATCTTGAATCAGGCCAAGGCTCCCTTTCACAGGAGAGTGCTCACGTCGTCACTATCAGCAGTCTAACATAGCAGGTGAGGACAGGCGGGGCTGCAGATTCCTTCTCAAGACAGAGCATGGGCATGTCTCTGTCCCTCATAGGATCCACTCCATACCCCATTGTCCAGCCTTCAGGCCCATGGGCTTGAAAGTTCCCAGAATTCTAGCCCCAGATCTACTCATTGACTGTGAGTAGGAGCCCTTCAGGCTTATCTCACCCAAGCTGTCTCAGCCTGTGGACATGATCCAACCACACACTCTCCATTTTTACTGTTTTCTTTTTCTTTTATTTTTCCTTTTCTTCTTTTAATTGGAGTTCAGTTTGCCAACATATAGCATAACACCCAGTGCTCATCCCATCAAATGCCCCCCTCAGTGCCCGTCACCCAGTCACCCCAACCCCCGCCCACCTCCCTTTCCACTACCCCTTGTTCATTTCCCAGAGTTAGGAGTCTCTCATGTTCTGTCAACCTCACTGTTATTTTCACTCATTTTCTCTCCTTCCCCCTGTTTCTGTGGCAGGAATTCCTTTTCCTCTGCTATCAGCCCAGAGAAGCCCTACTCATCCTTTCAGTCCTAGAGAGAGCATCCCTTCCTCCACATTTCCCATGCTGACCAGCAGATGTCTCCCTCACAGCCTTGCACATTGTGGGTCCTCCATCCTGGGTCTGGGTCTGGGTCTGGATAGGATGTATCTCCCTGTCCCCAGTGCCTGTAACAGTTGCAAGCGGTAGAGACTCAAGAGATGCTTGGTGTGGCATTCAGTGGCAGAGCCATTTATACTGCGTGGAGTCCAACTCTCAAGCCTGGCATTGAATGTCCTGTAATGAAATTCATATATACATTGGGGTTTTTTTTTTTTTTGAGGGGGGTAGGGATTTGAGGTTTAAGGTTTAAGGTTTAAGGGTTTGAGGTTTAAGTGTGCACTGAAAGAGAGAAATGGGGACAGGATTGTCCCTGGTCAGTGACAGGCACCAGAGGGAGTGAAAATTTTGAGACAATTAATTTTTTTATAAATTTATTTTTTATTGGTGTTCAATTTGCCAACATATAGAATAACACCCAGTGCTCATCCCATCAAGTACCCCCCTCAGGGCCCATCACCCAGTCACCTCCACCCCCAGCCCACCTCCCCTTCCACCACCCCTAGATCGCTTCTAGAGAGAGTTAGGAGTCTCTCATGTTCTGTTGAGACAATTCTTTCCTATGTCTGAGACCCATTCAAACTCACTATGGTCCTGGGGGCCTGGAGTGCTCTTCCTGGAGGCCTCTAACAGTCCTGGTGGACCCCAGATAGCAGAGGAGGACTTCCTTTGGAGAAAGCACTTGGAACTGAGAGCCCCCAGATATTCAGGACCCAGGTAGATATCCTGCTTAGCCAAGTCTAAGAATATTACTATGCCTTTCAAAAGACCCATAGCCTAAGTCAATCAGAGAAAGACAAACAGTGTATGTTCTCATTCATTTGGGGAATATGAATAATAGTGAAAGGGAATATAAGGGAAGGGAGAAGAAATGTGTGGGAAATATCAGAAAGGGAGACAGAACATAAAGACTCCTAACTCTGGGAAACAAACTAGGGGTGGTGGAAGGGGAGGAGGGCGGGGGGTGGGGGTGAATGGGTGACGGGCACTGAGGGGGACACTTGACGGGATGAGCACTGGGTATTATTCTGTATGTTGGCAAATTGAACACCAATAAAAATTAATTTATTAAAAAAACAAAAAAAACCCCCAAAAGACCCATAGCTGTGTTTATGGGAGGCTTGTGAATCACCAGATACCATAGTCTCAAAGCAGAGAACATCCTTGATAGGCAGAGATACTTATTTCCATTTTACAAACAAGGAAACTGAGGTTGATAGATTAGGTGGTATATGGCAGGTCATTGCAGTAAATGAGTAAGAGATCTGGGACTCAGAATTCTGAGAACGTTTAAAAATCATGAAAGATAGTTAAAACACAGATTGAAGGAACTCATAAAATTCCTAGCTGGGTAAACTCCAAACAGCATATGGTGGTACACACACACACACACACACACACACACACACACACCCTAGTCAATCTGCTGAAAAACCAAAGAAAAAGAGAAAAATTGTAATGGCATTCAGAGAGAAAAGAGACCCATGAAATCACATGATGTATGAACATTTCCTAACAGGCTTGATAAATAGGAGCCTCTCCATCAGCAATAGATTGCATGTCCTCTTGCACCCCGATGTTTCTAGCAGCAATGTCCACAATAGCCAAACTGTGGAAGGAGCCTCGGTGTCCATCGAAAGATGAAAGGATAAAGAGGATGTGGTCTATGTATATAATGGAATATTCCTCAGCCATTAGAAACGACAAATACCCATCATTTGCTTTGACGTGGTGGAATTGGAGGGTATTATGCTGAGTGAAATAAGTCAATCAGGAAAGGACAAACATATGGTCTCATTCATTTGGGGAATATAAAAAATAGTGAAAGGGAATAAAGGGGAAAGGAGAAAAAATGTGTGGGAAATATCAGAAAGGGAGACAGAACATGAAAGACTCCTAACTCTGGGAAACGAACTAGGGGTGGTGGAAGGAGAGGTGGGCGGGGGGTGGGGGTAACTGGGTGGCGGGCACTGAGGGGGGCACTTGACGGGATGAGCACGGGGTGTTATTCTGTATGTTGGCAAATTGAACACCAATAAAAATAATTTTATTATTAAAAAAATTGAACACCAATAAAAAATAAATTAATTAAAAAAAAGATTGCGTGTCCTCCTTACAGTACCATATTCTCTGTTTAAAATATAAAGTTATAAAACAACGTGTGGTGAAGGAGTGGTCACATGCTCTGAGAGAGCATCAGTGTAACTCTAGTGTTGAAACTACTACAGCTTTATCTCTGAGAAAATCTGAGATCTTTTGAAACAAATGTAACCAGAAACCTAAAGGTGCCAATGCACTGGAAACTTCTAGGTAGATGTCTGGGTCTGCTGCTGTCCCCTCGAACTGAGAGAAAACAAAGTTGTAGAGAATGCTTGGAACAGAATACTTACTCCAAGATGCTAATGCCATCTCCCTGTGACATGAATTGATGATAAGCCATCTAGAGATCTTGGGGGCCTCAGTGAGCTAGGAAGGAAACATCTGATGGTTTACGTGGGGGATAGCATTTCCTAGTATAGGAAGGGTGTGTCTTCAATAATAACCAGAAGGACTGTGTGTAGCTAGAGCAGAATGAACTGCAGCCACGGGTGAAAGAAGCCACAGAGAATATCAGGCTACAGGACCTCACATCCATGGAGGGAAAATCTTCACCCATGCTGGGAGAACCAGGTGAGTCAAGAGGCCAGGGGCAGGAGTAGATACCCTCCTCAAAACCAGGAAGCACTTACTGCCTCCCACTCCAGGGCCTGGTTCAAGCTCCTCCCTCCACATTCCCAGCATGATTCTGGCACTTTCAGAGACTGTGTACACTGTCTCATGCTTGCTGCATTCCCTGCAGGACAGCGGGACAAAAAGCTGCTCCAGGATGGCCCCTGGAGGTTTTTCTCCCTGGTAATGACTCTCATGTTGCTTCTGCTAGCCCTCAACCTTGGTGTGGTCCTGGCTGAGGGTAAGGTGTTGAGCCAGTGGGAGTGGGTGATCACATGAACCCAGGGCCCCAAATCTGCAGTCTTGAGAAGAGGACCCTACAGGGCTGGGGCAGTGATGGGTCAGTAGAGGGTGGCTGGACTGTGTTGCTGGACTTAATGATTCTAGAAATAAACTGCCCTCCTCATCTCAGCCTGCAATTTGGGGAGTGGGAAAAGAATCGTGTGTTAAAAGGTCTAGAACCTATCAGCATGTATTTCTTCTAGTACTGCAGTTCTTTAACCAGATGCAAGAAGAACTCAAGCAACTGGACATCAAATGTGAGTGCTGAATGTAATGGAGGGATTTTCCCCTCCCACCCCCACCAGGTCTTGATCTGTGTTTCTTTGTGGGTCTCTTAGTTGTACAGGGTCTGGCAGATGCTGGGCACAAGCGGGACATCATGTGGGGAGAGGTGTTCCGGCAAGTGGAGGCTGTGCGGGCAGGCAATGGTAAGGAGATGGGGCTGGTTGGGTGGTGGGAAGTGGAAGTTGGGAGAGGAAGGTTGTTTTCTTGAGCACTGTTGGTGGTCATGGTTTTTGCAGCACCTAAGTATGTGTAGGGTTGTTTTAATTGACCCTCCATCAAGGCTGATTTTACCTAAAGTTTGAGGCCCCATGCATGGCATTATTCTGCCATCTGATAATGCCCATCTCTTGAATGAACAAATGGGAAGCTACTGTGCTCACTTTTGCAAAGTGGTAAAGATGCACAGATTTGAGTTACTTCACTGGAGGCTTTGTTCAGTGGCCAATGCAGCCCTGAGCCCCAGCAAAGCTGACCTCTTTCCCCATCTCCAGAATCCTCCTGTGAGCCCTGCCTGGAAAACTGGATGGCATTTCAGGGCTCCTGCTATCAGTTTTCCACACAACTACTGGACTGGTTCAAAGCCAAGGATGACTGCGCTAAGAAGGATGCTCACTTGGTCATCATCAACAGTCAAGCAGAGCAGGTGGAAAGGGGGGAGGGATGTTCGGTGGACTCTTCAAGTCATTGTAGGCTTATGTCCTTGACCCCTGTAGAATCTAACGCAAACCCTTCTGCCCTTCATAACACCGTCCCACTGCCTTAGCATGCAGTATTGGCTGGGACTCAGTCTTGCTTCTGAGCAATTCTTCACGCTGGCCCTTCTATCCAGAATGCTTCCCTCTATCTACATGGACAACTCCTACTCCTTCTACTCCATCAGATCCAACTTTGTCCTTCACCATCCTTCCCACCCTCTCTTCCTCAACACTGGACTATACTGACAGATCCCTGGTTCATCTCCTCTCACATGAAGAACTCCCAGGTTAGGAGTGGTTCTGATTCATTTCTGAGTCAGTAGTGCTGGGAACCAGATTAGACACACTCAGTATGGCTCAGTGGACTCAATATTTGTCAGTGGAATCCAACTGATTGCTAGAACAATTTCTAAGGGGGCAGTGTCCAGATTTCTCACCTTGTAAACCACGCTCTTGAATAATCCCAACTATCTGTTAGCTACTCGGCTAGGAGCCACATTGGGCTCTTATCCTCTCATTGAAACTTCAGAAAATCCTGGAAGGCACCTGTCATTGTTATACCCCTTTTATAAATGAAAAGCCTGAGGATGATAAGTGTCCGTAATTTGCTGACCACATAGGTCATAATAATGGTGGAAACAGAGATCTACCCGGAACTTTCAGCCAATTTCAGCCAAGGAAGCTACACTGGACCACATCCCTGCCCATGAGGTCTTCTAGGTCTTAGTACTTTCATGGATTATTTCTACCGCCATTCTCACCTCTGGCTAGAGTCTTTCTTGACTTAATCTGCTTTCCTCTCATGCAGAAATTCCTGAGTCCAAAGGAAGATGTTGGCTACTGGATTGGCCTTAGGAAACAGTACCCAAAGGGCATTTACAAGTGGCAAGATGGTTCAGTCCCCACTTTTGAGTGAGTATCCCTGTTGGGACTCAGAACACTTGAGCTTGTCATTCCCATTGGATCTTGAAGACATCTTTCCACAGATTCTCAAACTGCCTCAAGTGTCTGATTTTGGTCAAAACCAAACTGCCCGTTACATTTCCTGTTGTCATGCTTAACATGGTATTTTGTTAGCTACAGAGGTGTGTGTGTGTGTGTGTGTGTGTGTGTGTTTGTGTGTGTGAAACCATAATTAAACAACATTAAATAGGAAGTTCTTTATTGTAGGAAGTCTGGGTGCCTTAAATACATTGAAGAGAATTGTGCACTTTGAGGAGGGAATAGATAGTGTATGATGTGCCAAGCTTATTGAGATACACATGTTATTTGGATGTATCTGGAGCTTCTGGTGTCCTACAGAACACGCTTGGGGGAATTTAGGGGATCCAGTCCTAACCCCTCAACATATGATTCAATGACCTCACATTCTGTTCTTGAACTTTTTTTCATGTCCACATACTTTACCAGAACTTCACACTTAGTCTCCTTGACCATCTTGAGTACATTTTCTTTCCTTCATTTCCACCACTTCTGCCTCAGCCCAGGTCAGGACAATTGCTATATATCCTATATTTAGCCTTACCTTCACCAGCCCATGCTCTAGTCAAGTTCAAGGGGCCTTCTTCCTAAAACATGCCCTTGATATAGTTTTTTGAAACAGCTAATTCTTCAGTGTCACATGGATAACCCAGAATCTTTAGATGGCACCTTTCAATGTGGACATAGTGGATGCCATTCATCTTTACATTCTCATCTTCTACACTGCAAAGGGCTCTCCACCTCCTTGTCCCAGCTATGTGCCAAATGACTCATATTTTTAGACACCATCTTGCATCTGATTTTTCTGCTTTTGCTCTTGTTGTGTCATCTGTCTAGAAAACATTTTATTGGTTTGGTGAACTGCAATATATTTGTCAAGTCTCATAGAGGAATCCATCCATTGCCCAACATGAATTAATCCAACCCCTTAATATCCCAGTCATACACTATGTAGAGTTTTGTGGCTGTGTTGACTATGAGCTTTCTTTGCCTAAACATTCCTTACTTATCAGGCAGGCTGCTGCTTTAGGACAGAATAGGCATCCAACTCATTGATGAGTTTCCAGTACCCAGTACAGGGCTTGGTACACAGCAGGTACTCAATAAACTGTTTTGGAATGAATGAATGAACGAATGAATGAATGAATAAGTATTGTAAACATTTCAAGGAATGTTTAGGAAAGAGGGTATGGGATCATTTGATAGACTTAGCACCTATTATATCCCAGACATTCAAATGCATCTTGTCCTCAAACTTAATCTCAGAGATCCAGGGATGTTAAGTCATTTGTCCACATGGCCTCATTTATTTCATTTATAATACAAGAAATTGTGCCAGATAATTATTATAAAACAGTGGTGCGCAAAATGATCTCCTCCGAGAGCTATTTGGCACTGGTCTGCAATATTTTTGGTTGTCATAATGGAGAGGGAATGCTGCTGGCATCTAGTGGGTAGAGACTGGTAATGCTGCCCAATAGCTAAGGGTGCATAGGAAGTCCCCCAAAACAAATAATGATAAGGCTCCCAATGTCAATAGCTCCTTTGTGTAGAAAACCTTGCTATAAGATATGACTAGGATATTTTACTTTCAGGGATTTTTCACATATCCCCAAGGCTAGACTCATACCTGATAGTCTTATCCTCTTCTGGGATCTTAATGGTGAAAAGCCCAGCTGGGCATGGCTGAGTGTAGCTTGCCCCAGCACTGTGGTTAAGAGATTTGGCTGATGATTGTGTGTGTTTTCACAGCAACTGGATTAATACCGAATCTTTTTACTATGACTGTGTCATCCTGTGGAAATTTGGCTCCTGGTTCTCTTCTACCTGCAGTGTCTACTGGTATCATTGGATCTGTGAGAAACCACAGATCTGCTGAGTCTGCTCCCTTTCCTCTGTTTGTGGTCTTGGGAAAAATTGTCTTGATATGTGACCTCATAAACAATTCCCCAACTTCTCTGTGTAAAAGAGGATTTCCTGAAAGCCCCAGTTCTCTTGGTAGCATCTTTCCCCTTTCTTGCCTCTAATTCTAAATGCTGTTGAGGAACATGAAAAATGATACCAGGATGGAACAATGAGCAAAAAATATTGTGTAGGACTTTCTACAAGACAAATAATATAGTTTTAAAAAAATGACATAAATAAAGGCAAATGTAGTATTGTTAGAAAATAACAGAGCCTTAAAGACATAGTTAAATTAACGTGTATACCATGTTTGGGTTTTCTTTGAAAAGGTTTCTGAAGAAATCACAATATTTGAGTATGGATTGTGTATCAGGAAACGCGAAGGCATTTTTATTTATTTGTGAGGTGTGCTAATGGCTTGGTATAGATAGATGATTTTTTTTTATTTTTTTTAAATTTTTTTTAATTTTTATTTATTTATGATAGTCACACAGTGAGAGAGAGAGAGAGAGAGGCAGAGACACAGGCAGAGGGAGAAGCAGGCTCCAAGCACCGGGAGCCTGACGTGGGATTCGATCCCGGGTCTCCAGGATCGCGCCCTGGGCCAAAGGCAGGCGCCAAACCGCTGCGCCACCCAGGGATCCCCTAGATAGATGATTTGATAGAGATATATCACTATATGTCAGCAATACATACTAACATGAGTATGGGTAATAAATATAGGTAAATTTGTGTCCTGTGTGGGATTTTCTTTAAAATAATAAATCAGATGAACAGGAAGATTGTATATAAGAAACTCAATTGACCAAGTGTTTATAGTTATTAAAGGAGTCCATCATATATTTCCTCAATTTTCGTCTAGAGGAACATTCTACATAAATTTCAAACTTAATAAATGCAATTCATAAGAATTCATATAAGATAAACATGATCAAAAAGAAACTCAGCAAACTTGTAGAACAGAAATGTCTGAACCTAAAAACAGTATCTACATAAAGTCCTACTAAAACCATTATACTTCACTGTGTAGTATTGAGAACATTCCATTTTAGCTCCAGAGCAATATATGGGTTTCCATAGTTATGGATTTCTCTTCAACATTATTCTGGGGGCCCTAGACAAGGCAGTGAGACACCCCCAAAAAAGCATCCCATAAAACACTGAGAAAGAAGAACATTAAAATTTGGAAAAGAAGATACAAATCTGTCATTTTTCATACATGATATCATTGTTTTCACAGAGACACTAAAGCATCTGCACAACCTTTAGAACATAGAAGTGTGTACCAAGTTTTCTGCACCCCAAATCAGTATAGAGATTGTATTTTATAAATGAAGAGCAAACTGATAGACAAAGAAATATTTTTTTAAAGATTATATTTATTTATTCATAAGATACAGAGAGAGAGAGAGAGAGGCAGAGACACAGGCAGAGAAGAAGCAGGCTCTCTGCAAAGAGCCTGATGTGGGACTCAATCCTGGATCCTGGGATCCTGCCCTGAGCTGAAGGCAGACACTCAACCACTGAGCCACACAGGCGTCCTGACAAAGAAATATTTAGAAAATATCATATAAACATTAAATGACTTTAAGAACTAAAAAATTAAAATGGGCATGAAGACATATATTAGGTACGTATATGTGCAGATTAGGTAGTCTTGCAGGCACTCACTGTGGTGAGAATCATAGAATATTGCATACTTAGCACAGCTCTGTCTGCATAATGAATACTTAATACCTTATAACCGTTATTGGTACTAATATATTTAAAAGCTTCATCATGGAAATATTGAGTACCACATTATCCCTCTGTCAACCAAGAGTGATGAGTCTGAAGGAAGTCAATGTTCTCAGGACAAACTTCTTTCCTGCAAGGGTGCTAGACTCAGAGGCACACTAGGGAAGATGAGCTAATTGTGTTCCCTCCAACAAGGTTCTCTGGGGATTATGCCTCAGGGGGTCAGAGAGTCTGGTATAAACTGTGGTGGTGCTTCTGTTTTGTGCCCAGAGAAAACATGCTCCTCCGCCACAGCCACAAGACAAAGTTGAGGTAGCAGCAGCTCCTATCCCCTGGAAACACAACACCCAGGGGCTGAGAGGTCTGGAATCTGCCAGGGGTACAGTAGCTACCTGTCAAGTAAGTGTGTCAAGAAGACAAGCTGCAAGGGAGTGGTCTCAGGGAAGATCTCTCCCTGGAACTTCTCAGACATTGAGGGAATGTCTGCTCAGTGTTCCCTGCCAGAGCTTAGAGTGCTTGGTGTCACAGCCTCATGGGTGGACAGGGTGTGAGCTGGTTAAGAGAGTGGGCACCAGAGCCAGAGCCTAGGGTGAATTTTATCTCCACGCAGGAGTGAGGTGCAAAGTCTCAACTGCCTGCCCCATGCACTAGCTGAGGGTTCAGTGGGGTGGTATGTGTCAAGTGATTAGCTCAAATGTGCATTTCCACCAAATAAATATCATTGTCCCACTCAAAGTTGATTTGGGTAGGTCTTATAGGAGGAGAGAGCAGGGGGTTCAACCTAAATCAGCAATCCTCAATGGGAGGCAATTTCAATTCCTTCCCAAGGGGCCTTATTGCAGTTGGGGGTGAGAGGGTGTTACTGGCCAGGGGTGATGCTCAAAGTCCTGCAATAACACATAGGGAGATCCCCACCATAAAAAATTATCTGGCTCCAAATGTCAGTAGAGCCCAAGTTGAGAATTCCTGGGTTTGACCAATAGACAGATGAGTGAGAAAGGGGTCCTTGCAGACATAAAGGTAATGCAAAGTTGGGGCAGAGGCTTCTAGGCAGGAGGAACAACAGGTGCAGAGATAAAGGCAGAGATAAAACCAGGAAGATGGAAACTGAGGTCTGGTAATGAGAGGAACAGTGGTGAGCCATGGAAAAGTGAAGTTGGATTGGATCCCCACCTACATTATCAGGGAGTCACTTTTTGCAGGACTGCATGGGGGATGGCAAGAGTGGCCATGGGGAGTCCACAGTGACCTGCGTTGGAATGCTTGCTCTGGGAATGAATTTTTTGCTTCTGTCCAAGAGATGAAGATGATGTTTAAAAATCCACAAATTTGGAACTGTTGAGAAGTGAGATGCAAGACAGGAGTGGACTGCAGTGCCCAGGCTTCAATGCCCAGTTGTGCAGGTTATGTGCTCTGTAGAATGGTGCAATGCATGACTCCCAGGGCCAACCTCAGAAACTCTGGCAGAGGGATGCCATTTCAGACCTTGTGAGACTAGAGGGCCTGGGAGTGTCTGAGAATGATGTCCAGGAAGCAACAGGATAATCAGGCAGGAATTTGAAAAAAGGTGGGTGCTGAGCCAGAAATTCAGAATGAATTTAATTCATCGAATGAAAAATGTAAGTATGGAAGACAGTGGAGACCTCTTACTCTTGCCCATGCACTAAGACACCTGCCACTTGTATTACAGATATTTTCATATCACAGATGTACCCTGAGTATACCATGTCATATGGTATGTGGATTGCAGGGTAAGGGTGGTGGTGGTCAGAGATACACCCCCCCCCAAAAAAAAACCCCACAAAACCCCCCAGATATTCACTCCCTTCTTCAGCTTTCAGTAGAAGATGAATGGAAAGGTTTGGAGAGTCTATTGTTGTTCACAAGTATGTACTGTTGCTCCCTGGGTGAAATTTCTACCTCTCCACCCCCTTGACACCAGACTTGGCCGTTAAAATGTGCGTGGAGGTGAGAGAAGGCTGTTTCCTGGTAGAGGCTCTTAGGAGCCAGCCTACAATTCACTTTTTCCATTGCTGTGATAACTGGCAGTGTCCCAGACTCAAAGGTTCATCCATCTGCCTGAGCCCTAGAGTGAATTCATCATGGAGCACAGCCATAGCAAACCCGTGATGGGCATGTAGCCCGAGAGAGAAATAAGCCTTCAGTGCTGTCGACCACCATGATTTGGGCATGGATATTGCTGCAGTATAATTTAGCCTAAAAGGACTTAGAGTCAGTGGGCTGTCTGGTGGAAGCCACGGTTGGGGTAATGCAAGCACCACTTGGGACATGGGGCCAGGATTTGTGGACAAATTAAGATTGATGTTAAGAAACATAAAATGAATGAAATTAAGCTCCCTTTGGAAATAACCTACACCAAGATATAATGAATCTGTGCCATGCTTATGCAGCTTGACAAGGAGGCTGATATAAAAGATACATGTCATTGTAAAGTGGTGTCTTTAAATGAAACTTTTATAGAGTATCACATTAATTGTCTCATTTAACCCTCCCAAGAACCTGAGGCTTTGGGAGTGTCTGTCACTGGCTCACACAGCCAATGGATGTCAGGGGTAGTTTTCAAACAGCGTCTGTTGGAACCCAGAGCCCTTGCTCTCAGCCACTAAGAGAACTTAACTCTCAGAAAAATTCATAAGGTTCAGCATTTTGCATATTAACCCATTACATCTCAACAACTCTGTGGAGCAGTTACTATTATTAGTAATCTTTACAGATGAGAATACTAAGGCACAGAGAGGTTAAATAAATTGCCTAACTCACACAGCTAATAAGTTGCAGAACTGAGATTTAACCCCAGGCTGTCTGGGGGATGCCCTTAATCACTATTATTTATTTTTATTTTTTAAAAAAAGATCCTGGAAATATTAAGCCTATTTACAGGCTTTATTTCTCCCTACCCCCATCACTCCTGAGATATGATTGGCAGATAAAATGTATATAATAATTACGGTGTACAACTTGGTGCTTTGATATATGCACTCACTATGAAATAATGGCCACAATCAAGCTAACTAACATATATTGCTCTTCATTTTGTTTTTTTTTATAAATTTATTTTTTATTGGTGTTCAATTTGCCAACATACAGAATAACACCCAGTGCTCATCCCGTCAAGAGCCCACCTCAGTACCCGTCGCTCTTTATTTTGATAGCATCACTAGAAGTTCCCATTGATAAAAATAATTGTCCATATTACATGCCAGGTATGGATTTAAGACCCTTATACATTTTTTCCTCACTTAATCCTTGAAATGATCCTAAGAGGTTAGAACGATCAGTCCCATGAAACAGATAAGGAACCTGAGGCTCAGGGAGGTTAGTGGGATACACTATGAGGGGTGGGTGAGAAGAACAATAATGCAATGATCCATTTCTTCTCCAGGAGTCCACTCACAGTTGATGCCCTTGTTTTTGGCTTTAATACTGCCTGGACATGGACAATCAGACCCGGATCTTTGAATTTATCCTCCTTGGCCTCTCTGAGCAGCCATTGCAGCAGCAGGTGTTCTTTGGTCTGTCTTTCAGCCTGTATCTGATTGGGTGCATGGGGAATCTGCTCAGCATTCTGGCCATCCTCTTGGACCCTCACCTCCACAGCCCCATGTACTTCTTCCTCAGCAACCTGTCTCTTCTTGACATCTGCTTTGCCTCCACCACCATCCCCAAGATGTTGGTGAACCACCTATGTGGGCACAGCACCATCTCCTCCAAGGCTTGCCTGACCCAGATGTATTTCTTCATTACCTTTGGGGCAGCTGACAGCATCCTTCTTTCCACCATGGCTTATGACCGCTATCTAGCCATCTGTTGCCCACTACGCTACATCACAATCATGAGTGTTCTTCGTTGTGCCTTGCTGGTGGCAGTCCCCTGGATCTCAGCAAACCTCATCTCCATGGTCCATACTATCCTGATGACCCGCTTGTCCTTTTGCACCAATAGGATCCCACACTTTTTCTGTGACCTCAATGCCTTGATCAAGCTCTCCTGCTCCAATACCCAAGTCAATGAGATGCTGGTGTTGGTCTTCGGGGGCTCAGTTGTTCTGATCCCTTTTGTGTGCATCATGGCCTCTTATACACCTATTGCTATGGCTGTGTGGAAGGTGCCCTCAGCACAGGGGAAGTGGAAAGCATTCTCCACCTGTAGCTCTCACCTTTGTGTTGTTGCTCTCTTCTATGGGACCATTATTGGGGTCTACTTCAACCCTGCATCCACACACACCACCCAGAAGGACATAGCAACCACAGTGATGTACACCATGGTCACCCCCATGCTGAACCCCTTCATATATAGCCTTCGGAACCGAGATCTGAAGGAAGCCCTCTGGAAACTTCTCAAAGGAAACCACTTGGCTAAGCCTCTTTAAAGACTTTTCTTAGACCAGTTTTCTTTTCTTTTCTTTTTTTTTTTTAAAGATTTTATTTATTTATTTGAGAGAGAAAGAGAGAGAGACCACAAGTGGGGGTGGGGGCAAGGAGGGAGGGAGGGAGAGAGAGAGAGAATTCCCTGCTAAGACTCCCTGCTAAGTACAGAGCAGGATGTGGGGCTCAATATCACAACCCTGAGATCATGACCTGAACTGAAATCAAGAGTCAGGCACTCAACTGACTGAACCACTCGGGAGCCTCAGAACCAATTGTTTTTTAAACAAACTAATTTTTCCCAATGTCAGCATTCAGGATGTTTTTTTCTCTTTTTCTTTTTTTTTGGTAAAGATAGAAACAAAATTTTATTCTTCATTTAAGTACTTTATTTTTTGTTGAATATACTTGACATACAACATTATGTAAATTTAAGTTGTACATGTTGATTTGATGTATGTCTATATTATAATACAATTGCCATTATAGCAATATTTAGCACCCCTATCACATTACATAATTACCCTTTTTTATAAGTGGTTGGAATAATTAAGTTTTAGTGTTTTAGCAAGTTCGATGATTGTAGTACAATATCGTCTATGTTCATTACATTGTGCATTAGATCTACCTTATTTTCTACTCGTTGCAAGTTTGTACTCTTTTTAATTTTATTATTTTATTTAAGTTCAACTAGCTAACATATAGTACATCATTAGTCTCATATGTAGAGTTCAGTAATTCATCAGTTGCACATAATACCCAGTGGTCATTACATCATGTGCCTTCCTTAATGCTCATCACCCAGTTGATCCCACCCCCGCCCCCTTCCAGCAACCCTCAGTTTGTTTCTATAGTTAAAAGTCTCTCATGGTATATCTCTCCCTCTCTGATTTCTTCCCATTCAGTTTTCCCTTCCTTTCTCTATGATCCTCTGCACTATTTCTTATATTCCACATATGAGTGAAACCATATGATAATTGTCTTTCTTGGATTGACTTATTTCACTCAGCATAATAACCTCCAGTTCCATCCACACTGATGTAAGTGTTAAGTATCCATCCGTTTTGATGACTGAATTATATATATATATATATATATATATATATATATATATATATATATATATCAGATCTTCTTTATTCATCTGTCGATGGACATCTGAGCTTTTTTCATAGTTTGGCTATTGTGGTCATTGCTGTTATAAACATTGAGGAGCAAGTGCCCCTTCAGATCATTGCATTTATATCTTTGGGGTAAATACCCAGTAGTGGAATTGTTGGGTCATAGGGTAGCTCTATTTTTAACTTCTTGAGGAACTTCCACATGTTTTCCAGAGTGGCTGCACCAGCTTGCATTCCCACCAACAGTGTAAGAGGGTTCCCCTTTCTCCACATCCTTTCCAACATTTGTTGTCTCCTGTCTTGTTAATTTTAGCCATTCTTCCCTAACACCTCTTTTCTTTTGTCTTCTTGATGATAGCTATTCTTACAAGTGTGAGGTGATATTGCATTGTGATTTTTATTTGTATTTCCCTGATGATGAGTGATGTTGAGTATCTTCTTATGTGTCTGTTGGCCATTTGGATGTCATCTTTGGAAAAATGTCTATTTAGTTTAACTCTCTTTTAAGTTGGATTGCTTGCGTTTTTGTTATTAAGTTGTATGAATTCCTCATACATTTTGGGTTAACACTTATCCAATATATGGTTTGCAAAAATTTTCTCTCATTCAGTAGATAGTCCTTTCATTTTGGCAATTGTTTGTTTTGCAGTGCAGGAGACTTTGAGTTTGATGTAGAACTATTTGTTGACTTTTGCTTTTGTTGTTTGTGCTTTCAGTGTCATATGCAAGAAATGATTGCCAAGACTCATGTTGTGGAGCTTCTTCCCTACACCTTCTTCTAGGAATTTTGTGGTATCAGGTCTTATGCTTAAGCCTTTGATCCATTTCAGGTTAATTTTTGTGAGTGGTGTGAAATAGAGATGCATGGCTTATCCAGTTTTCCTACACCTCTGTTGAAGAAACTGTCCTTTCTCTGTTGAGTGTTTTTTTTTTAAGATTTTATTTATCTATTTGTAGAATGAAAGCAAGAGAGAGCGTGCACAAATAGGCAGGGAGGGAAGGGGCAGAGAGAGAGGGAGAAGCAGGCTCTCCACTGAGCAGGAAGCCTGATGAGGGGCTCGATCCCATGACCCCAGGATCATGACCTGAGCTGAAGGCAGACGCTTAACTGAATGAGCCACTCAGGTGCTCCCTTTGGGTGTTCTTTATTCCCTTGTTAAATATTGAAATTAAAAGCTTTTCAGGGTGATTTTTCTTGGTTCACAGACACAACATTAAATAATTCAAAAAGTATCCCCTTTTAAATTTTTTATGAATTTATTCTTTATTGGCGTTCAATTTGCCAACATACAGAATAACACCCAGTGCTCATCCCGTCAAGTGCCCCCCTCAGTGCCCGCCACCTAGTCACCCCCACACCCCGCCCTCCTCCCCTTCCACCACCCCTAGTTCGTTTCCCAGAGTTAGAAGTCTTCCATGTTGTCTCCCTTTCTGATATTTCCTACCCATTTCTTCTCCCTTCCCCTCTATTCCCTTTCACTATTATTTATATTCCCCAAATGAATGAGCATCCCTGAGTGGCTCAGTGGTTTAGCTCCCCTTTTAAATTATTGCCATTCTTTTGATTATACGTTGAGAACATTCTGGTTTGATGCTACTATGTCTATAACACTTTTCACAGGATATCCCTTTGGAAAATGAGAAGGAGGGTTTTGGGCTCAGAGTATTCAACAGGCAACAGTAGCTAGTTTAAAAGAATTTAAACAACATTCTTTCATTTTCGAGATTTCCTCTTTTTACTCTTCTGTATTATTGGTTGCGGTTCAGGTAGGAAAAGGGAAAGCATGCTATGGCTGGTACACTTGGTTATGTCAAATAGTTTGGGTTTTCTACGTACCATAGTAATCTATTAACTTGTAACAAAGAATTTCATAGGCTTAAGAAGTTGAAAAAAAGAAAACTACTGAGAAAATAAAAGCATTGCTGTACTTGGATGTGGCAAAATTTGACTCAAGTAACTGAGGAATGGGAGAGGTTGGATCAGACAGATTGCCTGTGGTGGGATTTCATGATGGTGTGGGGGCATCAGCTTCAAAATTGGACATATTTGGGTTCAAATTCTCCATTCACTCATGAATAAGCTGAATGTCTCTTTCTCTCTCTCTCTTTTTAAATATTTTATTTATTTATTTATGAGAAACACACAGAGAGAGGCAGAGGGAGAAGCAGGGTCCTCACAGGGAGCCCAATGTGGGACCCGATGCCCGGACCAGGGGTCATGCCCTGAGCCAAAGGCAGACACCCAACTACTGAGCCACCCAGGTGTCCCAAGCTGAATGTCTCTTATCTGCTCACTTTCCCTTTGAGTGTGAGTTTTCTTTTTCATAAAGTGCGAGCTGTTCAATTATCCTTCTAGTTGCTGCTGCAAGCTACTTCATGTCTCAACACTACTGTGTTCTCACCTGTAAAGTGAAGTTCGTTACGGTTCCCTTTCTCCAGGTGGTCGTGAGATTTCTATCCAATAAAATGTAAATCACCTGTTAAAGGACTCTGTGCATAATAAGCACTGGACAAATCAGCCTTCAGTGGCTCAAAAAAGATGGACATCACACATTTAAGAAGCAAAAGATGTATTTTAATGAAGTATGCTTGATTGTCCTTCACGGTCTTTTTTTTCAAACAAATGTTGCAAAGTTATTTGTTGAACTGATTTTAAATGTCTTTTTTTAATACTCACCCATTTTTTTATTTTTTAATAGTAAATTATTTTTTATTGGTGTTCAATTTGCCAGCATACAGAACTCTTTTCTAATGGAACCACAAGGCACTGAAAAAATAAAAGCCCCTAGGATTTGAGATTTTGTGAATTTATGAGAAATAACAGGATTTTATATGGAAGAAAACACCGACATAAAAACAAAGATTGTGTGGTGCTTCTGAGAGTGAATACCCACCTTTGTGCCAGAGATATAAAGTGTTTATTGTTAAGAAGAGGGCTTACAGAAAGAAACAATGAAGACTCATTGAATGTAACTTTTGCTACTTTATTTTTATTTTTAATTTTTTTGTTACTCTATTTTTATTTTTGAGGTAATCCTTTCAACAAGTTCTACTGTATCCGCAGATGTTTTGTTTTTTGTCACCTTACTGGACTTTGGAAAACAAGTTTTGCCAAACTGAACATTTGTGAACAAATCCTGTCCCACTTAACCTTCTGGATTTCTCCAGGGTAATGATCTCCCTTCTCTATCACATTGTGTACTCCACAGGGAAAGGCATCTGGCTTCATTCATCTTTGTACTTTGATGCCAGGCACACAGTAAAGTGTTCAATGAATATTTGCATATTTCTGACTTAATGTGAGTATGTCTTTTTTTTTTTTTTTTAAGATTTTATTTATTCCCGAGAGACACACAGAGAAGCAGAGACAGAGGGAGAAGCAGGTTCCTCACAGGGAGCCCGACGTGGAACTCGATCCCCGGACCGGGATCACTCCCTGAGCCAAAGGCAGAGGCTCAACAGCTGAGCCATCCAGGCGTCCCAGTGAGTATGTCCTTAAACTAGACTTGTAGAGACATAGGCAGAGGGGGAAGCAGGCTCCTTGTGGGGAGCCTGATTCAGGACTCGATCCCAGGACTCCGGGATCATGACCTGAGCCAAAGGCAGACGCTCAACTGCTGAGCCACCCAGGTGCCCCCAGACTCGTTCTTTTATGTGCTGCTGTTAACAGGTAAGATGTAGATAATTCAGGTCGAAGATCTTCCTTTCATCCTTATCATTTCTAATCTTTATGATCCCTCCAAATTTTTCAAGGCCTAAATTTGTTCATATACTCTCATATCTTACTTCTATAGATCTTTCCAGTGTGTCTAAATACCCCAGGGTTCACTTTTTTTCAGTTAACATATTAATATCCCCTGATAAATATAAATGTCAGCCCATTA